TCATTGTGTTTTGCTTTTATTGTTGTTTGTGTGTGTTTAAAAAAATTTGGGATAGTATTTTTTTGAAACTATTATGAGTTAGTATTGATTTTAAGACTTTATTTAGTGATCTAAACATGCTAAAATGAGAATTTGGATGTTAAGTTGACTGGTGCAAAATTGAGCACTATCGCTTAAGCACCAATATTCGGCGCTTACGCGCAGTAGTTAAAAACCATGTGTGAAATTAAAGTTCTAGAAGGTTTAATTGCCAATTGGTTGACTAAAACATGTCAAGGCAGTTTTAGGATGTGCCTAGAAGTTGTTGGAAGGATTTAGGCCTATAAATAGAAGGGTTTTGTGATGGAACTTTACTCCAAGAATATTTTTCAGCTTTAAAGTCTAAGAGAAAGATAGATTTAGAGAAAATGTCTTCATGGAACATGGATTTGAAGAAAAAGGAAGTGGCTATGAGGAATAAAATCATTAGTCAAAGTGCACAAGAGATGTATAACGATTTCTTAGTCGTTAGTATTGAAGGAATACCGGAAAAGATCAACAAAATTGAGGCTAGCGTGACTTTATTTGAGACAATGGTAAATGAAGTTAATGCCCATCTAGAGCATATTGTATGGAAATTGAAAATGCAATTTAGTCACACTATTTATATAGAAGAAGTGGATAAGGCGATGTATCTTAAGCAGAAATGGATTGAAGAAGATTTTATTAGAGCTCGTCACCACCATCCATTTTATCAACTCTATATTCCTAATGCCCAAGGAGAGACTAATGAAAGACCAGAATTTGTCCCAACAAATGAAGAATGGAATAAAGTTCAGTGTTAAAGTTTGTTTGTTAGGAGTTGTTGTTTTTATGTATTAGTGTTAAATATTGATTGTGGAGTTTATAACTGTTATATGTTTAATTGTGAATGTTTTAATGGTGAATGTTTGTTAAGTGTTTGTATTTAGAAAATTTTTCTCATCCGAGACTATTCGGAGTGAGAATTAAGTGTTACCTGTACTTGTACTAGTTCGTAAATGAATATAAGTGTTTGTTTGTGTGAAAATTTTGTGTTATTTTAGCCTCAAATCGAATTAGTTATGTTGGAGAATTTTGAGAAAGAGGAGAGTATATGGAGAGGAAAATTGTCATTTAAGTGTTATAAGACCATTTAGGGGTGGTATACTTAGGCTAATAGTGCATTTTACTTAAGTTCAAAAATATAAAAAATAGTGCACGGGCGCCTAAGCGCCACATTCTCGCGCTTAAGCGCGATGTAACCCAAGAGACAAGCGCCTAAGCACCACTTATCCACACTTAAGCGCTGGTTCACAAAAACCGGTTCACAAATGGTTAAAGGTGAAAAATAACCCTAAAAATTGTCATTTTTACTCTCACCGTCACCTTCTTCCTCTTGAGTTTGCGATTTTGAAGTCTAGGGAAAGCCTTTTCTTGAAGATTTCTTGGTGGATTTGAGCAAAATTTGCTAGATTTGGATTTGTTAAGGTAAGAGCTTCACTTCTATGTAAAAATTTTAAATTTTCACCATGTATTTTGAGTACATTTTGGAGAAACCCAAAAATCGCTATTCATGGTGAAAAATGAGGAAAAATCTATGGAAATTGCATAGAAAGTGTAGTTTATACTTATAGAAGTTAAGTTTAGTAGATTAGATTTGATTTTTAAAGTTATTGTGGAATTTTGTGAAATTTGTAGAATGGTCCCAAGAATGAAGAGTAGTAAAGGAAAGACCCACTTTAATTTGAGCAAGTTTGTGAGTTCGAAAGCTCAGGATAGGCATAGTGATGCTCTACTGTCACAAAAGTTAATTCCTGAGTGATGTTTTAAAAATCCAGGTGGATCCGTAGAAGATTTGATCGTTCGCCGACAATGGGAATGATTCTGCTGTTTTTCTGTTGTGGCAGTTATTTCTGTAGTTCAAGAGTTCTATGTAAACCTCCTTGAGGTAGAAGAGGGTTGAGTCATGGTGGGAAATTGGTACCTTTTTCACAGGAGGTAATCAATATGTTTTGTCATTTACCACCTGCTACTTTGTGTTTTTATGTGAATTATTATCCTACTGAGATGGAACTGGACGAGATTATTTCTTATTTGACTATTGGACGAGGACTCTGGAAAATCATAAATGAGAGGAGAGTAAAATTTTCCACTTCCAAGTTAAGTGCACCATCGAAGGCATGGCACTGCTTTATTTCAGCTCGCCTGTTACCGAAGAATCATCTCAGTGGAGTTACGAGGGAGAGAACAACATTGAATTATTGTATTCAGGAAGGCAAGCTAATCAATATTGGAGCTTTGATCTGTCAGACTATCATCAGTTCTGCCACTGTCGCTACTACTTCAGGTCTGGGATTTGCTTCCTTAATCTTTTCTTCGTGTGAGCAGGCTGAAGTGAGATATGATAGTTGGGAAGAAGTGTTTTTGCCTCTGAAGCCAATTATAAGTGTAAATGTGAAGTCATATTTGGAGCATTCTGTTTTTGGCTGGAGAGGAGGATTTTCACGGAGTTATGGAATGTCGGCGTCTGGTGCTTCTACATCTAGACCATCTACCTCGCGAGCTTCTACTTCTAGAGGTGAGTCTACTGAAACTCAAAATGAAATATTGCAGAAAATGATGGACAATATCAACTATATCGCAGATAAAAATAAGAAATTTAGAAAGCTTTGCAGATCATATTGATGGGTATAATAGAAGGAAAAGTGATTATGAGGAGAAATTTCATTCCTCTGAGCAAGGAGTGAAATTTCCTTCATATCTGAGATACCCTGATTATGAGTCTACAGATGTATGGAATAACGATGATTCTGATGATGAGGAGGAGGAGGACTAATTTATTTTTATGTTTGTAATATGTGAGGGACTACGTGGTTAGGACTTGATACATTTGCATTTATGTACTTGTTTGGACTTTGTGATGTGTTGAACTTTTGTTTAATTGTTATTGTGATGTTTGTGTTTTATTAGTAGTTTGTTTTAATTCTAGGGTAGTAATTGTTGTTGTGTGTTGATTATTGTGTTTTATTTAGTTAGGATTGAACTTATTCCTATGTCTTGTGAAAAGTTAAAAATATTGCTAACTTTAGTTTTAAACTTTAATTTTAGAAAACCGCTACCCTATATTTTTCCTTTATCTTGTTAGTGTATTTATTTTTATGTTGAGATTGTGAAATCAAAATTAGTGTGTTTGCTAATTTATATGTCTGTACCCACTACTTAGAAGTCTAATGAATCTCTACATGTTGAATTAAAATGAAAATGATAAAAAATTGATCTAAAAATTAATTTTACTCCTGTTTTTAATTTTATACTTGTATAATTAGGATATAAAAAATTTTGTAAGCATGCTATTTTAATTTCCATTTATGTTTATCTATATATGCAGCTAAACTGTTTAATCTTTTTTAAAATTTAAGTTTTTTTTGGGGGGG